ATCTCCTCCCACTTATGACTGTAACTTTGTTGTTTGTATCATTACAGTGTATATTGATTGTTTCCTAGTATGATTTGATTGCTTATTTGTACCCTATGACTATCATTAAGTGTTGTACCTTATGATTCTTGACAAATGTATCTTCTCTTTTTATGTACACTGAGAGCATCTGCACCAAAGACAAATTCCTTGTGTGTCCAATCACACTTGGCCAATAAAGAACTCTATGCTATTCCATTCCGCTCCGCTCCATTCTGTTCTGTTCTATAGGTGTTCAAATCTCGCACCCGTCCACTACTTTTTAAAAAAATAATAATAATCAGTGTTGACAAAAAATAAAAACGGGTAACTTTCTCTTATATTGCCACCCCGTTGTTCAGGACGGGTGTGTTCCTTAGGATGAAGCAACTGTTTGCGAGGGCTTCACCTGTTGAATTTCTGCTTGCTTTGTATCTGCTAAGAGCAAAGCAGCTGCAAGCCCTATTCCCAAAAACAAAACAAAAACAGATGGCACCAAATTTCTGCAGGCCTCCCAAGGTATGCTGTGAGAAAGTCGTTATCTCTTGCAAACAACTTTGAGGTCTTTTAAATTCGTTCCGAAAGATTTTTACATGGGGGAGGGATCTCTGGTGTTCCTCAAAGAATTAATGCAAAGGGATGGATTCTCATTTGAAATATGCCCATCCCCGAGAGTGGGATCAGACCAGAGCTACCAGTTTTTCAGGGCTACTTAAAGTGAGATCATAGCTTGAAGGGGGAAGCTAGTTAGAATTGCTAGTTGCAGTTGGGCCATAAGGAAGGCTGAGCGCCAAAGAATGGAGGCCTTTGAACTCTGGTGCTGGAGAAGACTCCTGCGAGTCCCTTGGATTGCAAGGCAATCCAACCGGTCAGTCCCAGATGAGATCAACCCTGACTGCTCCGCTCCCAGATCCTGAAGAGGAAACTCAAATACTTTGACCACCTAATGAGAAGGAAGGACTCACTGGAGAAGAACCTAATGCTGGGAAAAATAGAGGGCAAAAGAAGAAGGGGACGACAGAGAATGTGGTGCCTGGATGGAGTCACTGAAGCAGTCGTCCTGAGCTTAAATGGACTCCAGAAGATGGTAGAGGACAGGAAGGCCTGGAGGAACGTTGTTCAGGCGGTTGTGATGGGTTGGACACGACTTCGCAACTAACAACATGTTGCTAGTTGCTGTAACATTCGGACAACTGTATTCCCTGTCTATTTGTTGAAGCAACCTAGTATAAAACCCCTTGAATTGGAAAGTGGCAGTAATAGGGTTTCAAAGGGCAGATATGTTTTGGGCGATGATATTTATTAGATTTATAACATAAATTTATTAGATCCTAACTCCTAAAAGAGTCACTTGACAGGGAGATGGGTGGCATATATATTTAATAAATCCATTAAAATAATTTTTTCATCAGAAAAAATGTAAATCTGCTTCTCATTTTTGCCCTCTTCAGTATTATTTCCCCCCAAGTTTTTTATTGTTTTATTTAACATCAGTATCTACCTAAAGGGTGTATTGTTTGGGTACAGTTCATTTTAAGAAATAATAGTAATAATAATAACACTCATAACATTGTTGGTGATCACATAATAATAGTAGTATTTGCTTATCTATCTTAGTAAGCCTTCTGTCCATCATCTCTGATTTTTTACTTTTTAAACATACGTAATAATAATCTTAACTTCTAATATTTACTTATACATAATAACTGTACTAACTTCCATCATATGACAATATATATAATAACCTTTTCCCAGTTTTTAGTCAGCTCTATTTCCTGATCTTTAATAAAACCGCTCCCATATCAAAAATTTACTCTACATCTATCCATCATCTCTTGCCCTTTTTAGTATTTCAATTCATTGACTTTTTGGTCAGTCTTCCTTGCTCCTCCCTTGGGACTTTGTATCCCTCTACATCAGGGGTCACCAACATTTCGGACCTCAGGGACCACTAAATTCATAATTTTAAATCCCGTGGACCAACTAATATGATCTGACTAATGACCGGCTGGGTGGGAGTGGAAAGTGGTCATGTGACTGGGTGGGCATGGCCAATTCAATGTCACTCAGGTCGAGGGGCGCTTCGTCAGCCTCTACTTGCCACTCCTAGCCTGCCCACCCAGGCTCCTTAGGGCCCCAACAGGAAGCATTTGTTGGAGCTAAGCAGCCACCATGAGAAAGAGTTGCCAAACAGCTTAGTTCAAATTGGATCTGGCCAAGAAGGAGGCTCAGCAGAAGCAGCTCATTGAGGACTACAAGCAGAGGCTTTCCAAGCAGAGGAAGTGCCAGGTACCTGCTCTTGGAGCCTTAGCAGGCTGAGATGGATGGCCAATTCCAGGCCATGATGCCGTCCCACTGGAATGAGGCCCTCCGGTTCTTCACCACCACCAGCCCTTCCCTCCAGCCTTCGCCAAAAGCCCCGCACCAGGAGGCCGAAGTAGACCCCAAGTCAGAATTTCTGCTCCCCTCGACTGACACAAAAAGACCCCAAAGGAGGAGACTCTCTGCAGCAACACAAACATTCATTAAACATATCCATTCCAGGGGCCATAGTTTGAGGACCCCTGATTTAGTGTAATACAAAAAAAAAATTCTGTGGACCACCAAAATTTTCTCGCGGACCACCAGTTGGTTACTACTGCTGATCATAAGTCTTAAGGCCAAAACTTTATTCATGGTTTCTAAATGGCCCCAAAATAGAGCCTTCAAATACTTGGGGATGGTCATTCAGGCCAACGATTCAAGAAAAGCACATGGAGAATATGCGGCTGCCTTGGGCCAAAGATCAAGTGCCAGCCTTAAAATTTTCTGCACGAATATGTAGGTAAAAAAGTAAAGGTTCCCCTCGCACATATGTGCTAGTCATTCCTGACTCTAGCGGGCAGTGACATCTCCTTTACAAAACCGAAGAGCCAGTGCTGTCCGAATACATCTCCATGGTCATCAGGCCAGCATGACTAAAACTATCTTTAGGTTAATTTTTACTCCAAAAGACTTTTTATTAAAATAAATTTGATTTTAAAAAATCTGATTTAAATTTTGAAAAAAATCTTATTTTTTATTTATTTATTTATTTTAAATC